ACAATTTAGCACATAAGTGGAGAAAAATATATGGTAATCATCTATAACAGGTATAACCCATGTTTACATTGCATAATAGCTGATATTATTTAATTTGTTGAATTTCGTTGAAGTCATCGCCTAGTACAATATTGTTGTTTTTGTTATATCTATTAAAAAATTATGTAACACTTATCATGCTTGTCAACATGTGTTTTTATATTGTCTACGGTCCCATTGGCCCATCTAAAGTGGTGGGAGTATTTCACCACAAAAGTCCCACGGACTCACACATGCTCCCTGACTAATTAGAGATGTTGAATTGTTCGAGTTAAGGATTAGTCAGTTACTTCGGCCTCGGGGGATCAGTAGGGGGGGGTACCCTGTTTTTGATATCATGAATAGGTGATTGGGGGGTCACCATGTTTTCCAGAATTCCCACATATATTCATATATTTTTAATTTTGGCGCAGCGTTGTGTTGCAATAATAACAGTAACATTGTTGCGACATTACAGACGCACACAGCGACTGAGCCCAAAAGTTGAAACAAGCGTGTGCGGTCAAAAATTAAAGGCGGCATGTGAATGTTTGAACAATAACAACAATCTACGTTGGGTCCGTGGCTAATGACTGCCAAGTAAATTTCTAATATTTTTATGGAATCTACCATTTTGGGTTTTAATTAATTTATGAATTTGCGGTATGTAATCACAATTTAAATTTTAGCTGTGATTTTCGAAGTTATACCTCTGTTTCGACGTCTACTTTTTAATATTCATATAGATTGACACGTGCTCGTTTCATTCATGATGTGGCCACGATTCGTGGCCTTGCTAATTGAAATGGAGATCGAACAAAATTGTAGACATTGAGTATATATATTTATCACATGCACTTTCGGTATAATAACACCCTTGTGATATTTTTGTTATTACACACTTTGAAAGTGACGTCACACTTTAAGTCTGTGATGTGATTGGCCAATACAGCTAATTTCACCTTCGACTTAAGGTAGCAGGATAGTTTTTTTGCATGAAAAATGTAAACACCTATTATCAGTATAAATTTTACAAGAAACCATACATTCTATATATGTTTGGAAAGCTCTTGACTTGTACTTTCCTATTATTAATATTTTGTGAACATTGTGTTTGTTTTAGCGTCACGTGATTCTGAAAATCAGCGGGGCTGATAATTTAACTAACGTGAATAAAATTTTAATTGTCATTTCTACAGTCATTCATGCGATCAAAAACTTTACACTGTTTTGAAGCAAAGGTCATGAAGTTTAAATCCGTATTTCTATTTTTTGCATTAAGTTTTTTTTTCTTTCCGAAAATCACAAATTTCAAGCACGTTTTTTGGTGTTAAAGTTAGAGTATACCGGTGGTTTGCGCGAGGTTTGTGAAAAAACACAATAGAATTTTGCAAATATGTAAATACGGATATGAAGCCAACATATCCAAGAGTAAGAAATAAGAAAAACCAAACGGCGACATCGTAGCGCTACTCACTGAAACGCTATTTAAAATTAGGTCAACGGTAATTGTCAGAAACCGAACACCGAGAAATCGGCACTTTTATGATTTCAAACTTCAATCAACGTTAACTCCCGTTTTAGCAGCAAAATTTACATGGGCTAATTGTAAATGAAATGCTTTGAAAGTTGTTTTCGAGAAAAATCATGAACCGACATTTATATCTGTGAAAAACTTTGTTTTTTGGCCGTTTTCTTTCACGCTATGGAGTTTTGTGATAACATGCCCGTGGTTCAGAAACGCCTGAGTGCATTTGTTAGTAGACTTGGACCCGAAACTACCATCGAGATGTTTAGCAAGTATATAAAGACAAACGTGGGCATTACAGATATTGTGTGTGAAAAATTAAGAACCAAATATGACACATATGCTTCATTTTGTGTAACGACATCTTTATCAGACTTTCAGACTCTTATGAATGCCGATGCTGGCCTGAGGGCGTCTTGGTCCGTAAATTTTTCAGCGACGCAATTGACACCCTTCACATTATAATGACGAAAATTAAAATTGTCTCGTATAATTGTAGATCAATTAAGTCTTGTGTACCCGCTGTCAACACACTGTGTGATAATCATGATATATGTTTTTTACAAGAACACTGGTTGGTAAAGGAAGACTTGGGATTTTTGTCTTCTATACACAGGGACTTTTATTCATTTGGAGTTTCTGCTGTGGATACTAGCAGTGGTCTTCTTGTGGGGCGTCCTTATGGAGGTACCGCCATCCTGTGGCGTAAATCGCTTACATGCGCAATTGAGATTAAAACGTATGATGATCCAAGGCTTCTTGGTACGGAATTAACAACTAACGACGATAGTAAACTTTTCTTCCCGTGTGTTTACCTCCCTACAAACTATGGTGACAATATAGACAAATTTGTAGACTACCTGGGTAAGATTAGTGCGATAGTGCAAGATTGTCATATGCCCAATGTTATGATTATTGGTGACTGGAACGCCGATCCTACTACAAACTCCAACTTTGGTGAAGAAATGAATGAATTTTGTAACAATGCTGGTTTAATTATTTCCGACGTTGAATTCATTGGTACATCTAATGCAGCTTTTACTTTTCTCAGTGCCTCTCATGGTACAACGTCCTGGTTGGATCACTGTGTCTCCTCAGTGAATGCACATCGTTCTATTGTAGACATTAATATTTGTTATGATTATGTCACTTCTGATCACATGCCTGTTTCTATCACGTGTCATACTGAGTCTTTGCCAGTGTAGCGTCATCTACTACTGGATCTGAAACACGTAAGGCAAAAATTAACTGGCCCAAAGCAAGCACTTATAATTTTAACCAGTATCGGCAACGGACGGAAATATGCCTTAAAAACATCGATATTCCGATGGATGCAATTATGTGCGTATCTGATGACTGCTGTCGCAGTGACCACCATGACTTGATTACTCGATATTATGGACAAATTATTGATTCCTTAGGAAGTGCTGGTGATGAAACATTTATTAGAAAATCAACCAGACGTTTTGTGGCTGTACCTGGTTGGAATGAAGTAGTTAAAGAGGCACATGACACAGCTCGCAATTATTTTCATTCTTGGTGTGATCCGGTAAACCTAGTTATGGTTTTGTGTACAGATGATGCGCAAATCGAGGTCACAATTCAAACTTGCGTTACGCTACTGCAGGAATAATAAGATCCAATTCGAGTCTGATAATCTGGCCAAGTCGT